TTAAACTAGTGTAAGGGCACATATTATGCATATGTGCAAATAAATGGTAAAAATATAAGTTGATATTATATAAGAGGTCAAAATCCAAAGGAGATAAAATAGTTGTCAGAAAACAACAAGAGAAGTTTAAGAAAACCCAAAATAGATATTATTTATCAACTTCAAATTAGTGTTTTCAAATTATTTATCCTGTGGTGATAGATGAACCAGACAGGCGGCCAGGTCTCAAGTTTTGAAAAGCTTTTAAGGTTTCACTCCTTCAACCATCCAACCCATCTCTTAGGGCAACTTTACAAGTTAGGTTGCATTTGTTTGAGGTGTAAATTTAAAGTTTACACTATAGAAAAAATGAACCAATTTAGTGATCCGTGAAAATTAAAATCAGTTAATTATGAAAATTTACACCTAATTTGTTTGGTTATCAAGGTGTAAATTCTGTGAAAATTTACATAGAAAAGGAGGAAAGCAAAGAAAGAAAAAGAAAAAAGTAGGAAAAAAGAGAACGAAAGAGACAGATGGAAGATGGGTTCAGATCTGCTGCTGCAACTGGTTATGCCCTTGATCACTAGTCCCAACTGTACGGTGAAGTAAAATTTTGTAAGGTGAAGTGAGGGTAAATGAAGATTCTTCCTCATAATATATGTTGCTTTTTAAGGTTTCATTTATGTCTCTTCTAAATTCAAACCAAATACAAAATATGCACCTCGCTCAGATTTTCATATATTTGTTTGGAATAATAATTTGCAATATTTATGGAGCCAAATTTGCATTTTCTTGTCTCATGACTCCCATCTTTATTTTCCTCCTAAACAAACAACTCTACGCCTAGGGTATCATATCATTCCTACTTAAAAAGTTCATTGCTTCCAAACAAAGCGAAGTAGACGAGGTAAGGCAAACCAAAATTTGCTTTCAGCTCATTTGCTCTACAAACAAACAGAGCTAAGGAATGCTTAAGAGGGCCCAATCTAAGCCAGATGTGGATCTACTACCCACAGGTTGTTTCCACATATCCACCCATGGGACATTATATAGCCGTGCAATGGGAATATCTGGGAGATGTTCCTAATACACGGTGGTAGCATCCTGTGAATAGAGGTGTGAGAACAGTTTATGAATAGCAGATACGGAGTGATCTCAGCCCCGTCTTACCATCCGTGATCTGGCCCACCCCTAAGCTTTTGCACTTTTCAGGCCTTGGACCAAGAATGGGCCTCATTGGGCTTGGGCTGAGATCGTCCTGCCCAATCCTTAACGTCTTGCTAGAATTGTGCCATTTTCTTTCTCTCGTTCCTCTTACAATTGTGTATTTATCCTTTTCTCCACCTTGGTCTGCAAGCTGATCACTGGTTTTCAGGTCAACGGTTTGACCATCTAATTCTAATGGACGGTCTGTTTCAATTGAAAAAATAAAAAAATAATTAAAATAAAAATAGCCAAAAACTATTGAATGAATCAATGATTTGACCACCTGAGTCAATTGATCATTGACCAAATCAACGGTTGAGAAATTGAGGGTGAAACAAAACCAATTACCCAAACAGTTCTTGGGCCAAATGGTCCGACTGTTCAGGTCAACGACAATACACTGGCACCACCTTTGCCCACCGAGGCAGGGCTTAAGGTAGGTCGAGGGATTTTGGCCAGAATCCACGTTTGAATTCTTGCTGGTAATAGTCGAGTCTTGGCCTCTTGGTCTTGGGTGTGTTTATTTCCTTTCATTCCACGAATAACACCAGCGCCCCACTGACTTCCTACCTCTCTCACTGCTTGCTCTATTTCTTCCTCTTTTTTCTTCTTCTTCTTTAATCAAAGGACATTGTCAAACAAACCTCTTACTCTCTCGAAAAGAAAAAATGGTAATCCATTTGCTAATGCTATGCTTGGTTTGAAGGAGAAGGTAGGAAAATCAATACAAGGTTTATAAAGGTTTTTCTATTATTTTTTTTCTTTTCCTACTTTTTTCCTTCAAACCAAACACAAACTAAGCATATGTTTGGCATCAGAAAACGGTGCTGCCAAGTAGGACCTTTGCTGGAGAAGCAGAAATGTTTTTTGTTTGGTACCAATGCTCTAGGAAGCGTTTTCAGTACTGGTACCTATTATCCAGTGCCACATCATGTTTCTGTTGGCAACAACAAGCTGCAGCTCCAGAAAATGCCAAATTTGGTGTTGCTCCAAGCCACACCAAAACCATTTTTTATGAAAAAATGGTTCCAAACAAACAAGTGCATCCTGGAGCATCATTTTTTCTGACGTAGCACTGATGTGTCGCCACTTTTTGGAGCAATGGCATCGATGCCAAACATACGCTATATTAATTGGTGTTGTCTCGCCATGAATTTTTCAGACAAGTCGAAATGCAGTACTGGATCCAGAGCAGAATCCACCAATGCAGGTATTTGGCATCAATGCCGTTTCTTCGAAAACAGTGCCACACTAGCACAACATATAAAATCCATTTTTTTTTCAAAAAATGCCTAATGTTTGGTTAGCCATTTTTCTAAATAATGTTTTCTTAAACCACATCTTGAAAATCAGAAAAGTGGTGGCGAGAAAATGTCCTTTTTGATGCTCTTTGTTTTTTGTACTGTTACTAGCAACAATATGCTGACATGACTAAAAATGTCTATGTGGCAGCAATCAATGGTACGAAATAGAAAACCAGAAAAAATGGCATGCCTATGCAGCACCTTATTCTGAGAAAACACCTCTCAAAAAAGGCATTAATTCCAAACACCACCTGAGATAAAGTCTCTGTTCCACTATTTCCTGTTAAACATGATCCTAATACTAAAATTTTCCAATTTGAAACTCTCGACCTCACATGGAATATCCATCAAATATATAAAAGAACAGTTTACAGTTCGGTCACCTGAAAAGCCATCTCTTCGCTGGTTCATCTAACCAGCGACAACTCAAAATCACTGAGAAATATAAAACTCGACGCCACTTAATATTAGCATAAATAATGATGTCGACATAATTGCTTTTCCTTTAGGTTCAGTTCGGCAAGAGTATAAATACACAAATACAAATACGTAGAGTGTAAATTTTATATTATTTTGTATGTATTTATACATATTTATATTTGTATTCTTTCCAAAAATGAGCCTAGGCTCAAATTTGAATTTAACTAGAGGGAGAGACAGGTTTCAAAGTTTAAAAAGCCAACGTTCTAGTGTTCTACACACTTTAAAAAGGGAAAGAAAGGGTCAGTCAGTGGGAGAATTTTGCAGCAACCGTGATTTTTGAAAAGATCTTGGGCTCCGGCCTCCGAGGGCGGAGGGCCCTCTTCTACCTAGCCGTTAGAGTAATGAGATTACAACGGCCAAATTTCACTCAGTATAAAAATTCAAATTTCTGCCCACCCTGCTTAAGAAGACTTAACCTTCATCAGAGCAAAACTTACCCCTTCACCAGAGAATACCCCATCCACCGAAATGGCTTCCTCCAAGCTTAGAAGTTCTTTCTCCTTTCCTAATCTCATCCTGTCTTCCCTCAGTTTCATTCTATTCATCCTATCATCAGCCTCTTTTCCTCCCATTTTTCTGCTCAAGAATCCCCCTAGTTCACTCGGTTGGGCACTCCTCGTGGTCTCCTGCCTCTCACTTCTTTCATCTCTTGTGGGCTTCTACTCTCAGCTCACTCGTTTCTGTTTCATAACCCATATTTCGCTTCTCCTCGCTTCATCTATTGGCCAAGTGCTCGGCATCCTGGCCTTGTTTACCCAAGAGAATTCAAGCCTCCAATTACTAAGCTCTCCAAGGGATCCGAAAGAAGCTCGGTTTTTGGTCAGGGTGGAGTGTGGGACTCTTATGGCTATGCTCCTTACGGACCTGGGTGTTCTGGTCTTGGCTTGTGCGGTTCACAGCTGTTGGGTGAAGGAGTACGAGGGGTTGGAAACTGAGAGGGAGGCGACAGCAAGGAAAAGAAGCAGGAGGATGGCTCGAGTGCAGGAGGAGTCGATGGCAAATGCGGCCAAGATTGCAGAGGTTCGTGCAAAGGAATCGGATGAGAAGATGAAGAACAAATACGGGCAGTGGGTGAAAACTGATTTTGAAGGCTAACAAAAATATATAACAAGCTGTGGTTATGTGTTGAGGTATTCCTTCATTTGGGGGTCACTATGGGGTGGCCACGGGAGAAGGTTTCCAAGTTTAACTACCTTTCGTATCATTTTTTTGGTAATACTTGTATTTAAGTATATGAAGGTAATGCTTTATGGCTTTCCATAAGCTAATGTAAAGCTTGAGTTGTGTGTGTGTTGATGTGTGATGAAATCTTTATCTTTGTTCTCTCTTCAACTTACTTTCATGGGTCCTGTGATCTATAAGCGTTGCTCTTTAGTGATGTTTATTTTGTTGGTTCAAATTTAGCCGCTATTTGAGAAATATATAGAATAGGAACAGATACCGGAGAGCTCTCTCTTCTTAGCTTTCCAAGATTTTATATAGAGCTCAACAAATACGTATCTTAGTTCTTGATCCCCAAGGCCCAAGGTTCGAAAAGTTTCTTCTATAATTCAGGTTGCAAAGATGTCAATTTCCGCTCCGTTGTCCGAACCAAGAGTTGCAATAAATTATATTTTTATTTCTGCCAAATAAATTGTTCTACTTGTTGTTTCGAAGTTTATATGCGGAGACAAGGTCAGATTCGATCAAATAATGAGCGTTTGATACTCGTATGCAAGATATCATTTTCCCCACAATCTATTGTCCAAACATTTATAGACTATCATTTATGCAAATATGGGTGGCAGGATTACAACAACTAGATTCCCCCTCGGATACATTCGTTCAGGCCAACAACTTGGTACGCTTGTATCGGTCATATAGGATATGATCCAGAAACTCAGCAAGCAAGAGTTTATTTTATTTCTCTTGTAGCAGTTGGAAGAGTTCGGGATGCTGATCTCTCCGGGCAAATTTTTGCGGTTGATCGTGGTATATTCTGATGCAAAGGAAGGAACAGGTGCGAAATTCAAGGAAAAGCACGGCTTCAACAAAGGTACCGGTTTTCTTTCACAAACTGGCCACATTTACATGTTTTAGTCAAGCGGCATGTATATTCTGATTTCTGACTACATATTTTTATTTGGTTAAAAAAAAACAACTGACGCTAATAGAATTAAAAAAAAAAGATATATTACATATCTTATTCTTCTATTCCCATTCTGAATCATCCTCCGCATACAATGCACATTGAAGATACAATTCTAATTTACAGAAAAAAAATTACAGATCCGGTTGTTGGCATACATGGCTAGCTCTTTCTCTTTGTGGTAGATCCACGAAGCTGTAGAAGGAGAGAATTAGTGACGACAAATATAGAACTCAAAGCCATCAGTCCACCTGTCAAAACACATCAGTATTTTAGTGTTTTTCTAGTTAAAATGATTTTAACAACCAACCTCAACTTGATGATTTCTAGACTAAGGAAACAAAAACTACAAAATCATTAATGGGAGCACAACCTCATTCCCCAATCATCTGGACACACATGCAGACTGTCAAGACCCCCCAAAAACACGGAAAAAACAAAACAAAAATACCCCCCCCCCGGGGGCAAATAAAGAAAAAAAAAAAAACTTTGCGGCCCCATAAGATGGTGAGCCAAAACCCTAAATCTATCAACTTGTACAACAGAAACACAAAGGATGACTGTTCTCCAGTAGCTTGAATATTTTGCCATGCATATCTAAAATATTCTTTTTTTCCACAGTAAATACCTCAAGTATCCTAATGCTAGTTCAATTTTACTCACCTGAAAGTGAAGGCGTCATGGCAAAATCAAAATTTGGAAGTAAAACCCCAGCAGCAATTGGTATAGCAACGACATTATATGCCACTGCCCATGATAAATTTTGATGGACTTTCGCCATTGTAGCCTGTGCAAGGTCCAGTGCATCTACCACCTGTCAACCTCAGAAGAGATGGAAATATGTGAGAATAAAACAATGATTTTCTTCTCAGTCAGAAAAATCATTCCAACTCATGATAGTAATTGAAACTGGAAACAGGCCTCCAACAACCTTATAAGAAACTGAATGAACACAAAACACTGGAAAATATTTATAGTTGTATAAATAGAAGCCTTGAGAGAATCCTAGTTATGTTTTCATGTGGTTATTTTAATTATTTAAAAGTTTAATCACTTGTTGACAATTGATATTGGAAGTTTCCTTGATACCTTCAGTATCAGTGAAAACAATAGTGGATGTAGAGCAACTAGCTTTTCTGTGTTTTTAGACTAACAATGGCCTGAGTTCTCAAGAGATAATTAACAGAAGAATGAAAATTCGGTATATTTATTACTTCAAGAAATATGAACTCCGATTTCCAAATAATATCTTGAGAATAGGAATACAACAAGGATGTCATTTACATCTATAAATTCAAATAGAGATAATAACACTATTCCATCATCTGCCAAGCTATTAAAATAATTTCTTGTACGTCAGCTTGTGTTATAAACTGCACTTGTGGAGGTTATAAATGATGCATCATTTACCAGGTAAACTACAAAACATATTTCTAGCAGAAAAACAGACCTGTGAGAGTTTGTTGCCAAGAAGAATAACAGAGGCTGCATCAGATGCAGCATTTTCTTTCCCTTCAATTTGCAAAGCAATCCCAACATCAGCAAGAGCCAGAGATGGCGCATCATTTATGCCATCACCCACCTTCAAGAGATACAAACATCTGTCATATATAATTTCCCTGGTAAAACTAAAGTACAAGAATATCTAGGTCTTGCTTGCTCAGACAGTTAAGGCAATACAATGCACCTAAACTCCAATATGATAGGAGTGGTTGAAAGTTGAAACCTCTTCTAGTCATTTTCAGTAAATTTCAGAAGAACCACCTATGGTTAATTTCAATTTGCTATTCAGGGAATCAAGTGTTGTGTTGTAGTTTTTCTCTACTTGGAAGCATTTGATCCCTGTATTGTCTTTTGACAATAGTCCTAGATGACCAAAATCCTTCAAAGTATTTTCAAATGAAGAAAAATTAAGAAGTTTAAACTACCCACAAAATCCAAAATTTTATGCCAAGGATGCTATTTGAGAATCCCAAACTAGGATTTGCAAACATCACCTAAAACTGGCCTGGGAGCTACATTGGGATTGATACATTAAAGATACGTGGAACAAACAAGTGGAGGTGGTATTGCAGTGATAAATGCAAAATAGACTGATGTGGGGCTTAATTGGGAAGAAAAGAAGAGTAACTCTTCTATTTATTATGGAAACCGATCTGGACAATGGGCACATCCCATTTTTAATAAACTGGGTACTTTTTTTTTTTGATCAATAACTGTGTTGATAAACTGGGTACATCCCTAGTAATAAGACAAAGAAACTACTGTTGGTTATGACAAAAGTCATAACATGAAGTGTTTTTGACTTTTAATCCATGTACATTTTGAGTAATGATTAGGGGTGTGCCCCCTTTATCAAAATAGGATGTGCCTAGATCACTCCCCCATTATTTATTATTGATGGGTAAGTTTTTTGTTTTGTTTTTTTTTTTTTTTTTTTGCTGACAAAGTTTTACAAAAAAAAAAACACTCAACAAAAAAAATCACTTTTCTCTTTTTTTTTCCTCTAGCTTATTTGAAATGTCCATAATCACTAAACCTTGGGAACGCACTTTATGGGGGAGTGTTTGCTGAAATATGTCAAGCATAATAGCTGAACTACAGAAAATGCCAATAAAGTGGGTTACCATGGCGATGCAATGTCCTTTAGTTTGAAGACTTGATATGACACCAGATTTCTGCTGTGGAGTTAAGGATGCATTGACACTTTCACTTCCAATTCCAACTGTTCTGGCTATGGTTTCCACTGCCTCTTCCCTATCGCCGGACAAGAGAATTGTTTTGACACCCTTTTTCTGGAGCCTTGACACCAGAACAATGAAATAAGCACATGGAACCAGTAAGCAATAGCACCATTTCCAATTAGCAGAGTATGATGAATAGAATGATTATGTACTGGAATCCCCCAAAACAAATAAGCATAGCATGTCACTTCCTTCATTTGAAGTTATAGAATCGGGATAGTAATGGCACTGTGAGTGACATTAATAGCACCTAAGAAAAGAAGCGATGTTATAAATATTCTACAACAGATCTGAGAAAGTTTTCAAATATCAAGTAATATTGGTAGCATAAGACTGTTTTGGTTGCCCAAAATGCAGGAAAGTTAGGGTGACTAGAAATGATTTTCTAATTATGCTTTTAAGGTATGTTTGGTTGCAAAGAAGATTCTGTGGGTTCTAGTTGTCAGGTTTTCTGAGTCACAGGGGTCCACATATAGCAGTAAGTGTTTAAAAGTTAAAACTCAATTGGTAAAAGGCTCATGAGTCCCACAACTATCACAATTCATTAAAAATTTTCTTTCTTTTTATGGACAACCAAACTGTTGTAGTGTTGTCAGGAAAAAATTTTCTATTCTCGTCTTTTCTTTTCTGTGATACCAAGCAGAGTCCAATTTTTACCATAATTCAGAAGCTTATAATCCACCAAAAAGGACATGGATTGAAGTAGTGAGAAATTGCCCAAGGACCCGTAATTTAACAATGAATACCATCTAGTGGCCTGGTCTAAGGTTTGCCAGACTAAAAAAATGGGAGCTATTGACATTTGCTCCCCTTGGAATAACAAATCAAGCTTTCTAGGTAAATGGTTATGGAGATATGGGGAAGAAGGTGAGTTAATCCAAGTATGGTAGCTTGGCCCTTGATTGGGAGTTGGTCCCTATCAGGAATTCATATGGATCCAGCTTATGGAAAGGTATTATGGTAGTAATCTTTCTCTCACTACATTTAATACCAACCTGGAGCTGAAGGCAACACCATTTGTTAGAAATTTCTGTGATGTGGGACAAGATTACTATGTGCCTTGTACTCTTCTTTGTTCAGATTGCTATGAGATTATTGGCAGCCAGATTGTGTGGTTTTAATAGGAAGCTGACAGAGTGGTGACTTTTTTTTTTTGATAATTTAGAGTGGTGACTTTGTTGGAAGAGATCAAACAGATCCAGATACATCCAGACAATCGAGACTGACAATTATGGAAAACAGCCAAGTGAGAGGTTTTACAGTTAACTCATTTTATGAGGCATTGCTGGATCCTAGGGGAAAGCCTGTTCCATTGAAATGGATTTGGAAGGCAAGTCCCATAGAAGGTGAGCCTTCTTTTTGTGGAAGGATATTCTGGATAGAATTCTAATGATTGATGGGCTGCTTGAGAAAGGGGAGAACATGGCTAATGCTTGCAGCTTGTGCAATGAAGAGAAGTCACCGAACCATATTTTCATGCATTATTCCTTTGGGTATGGTATCTGGTTACACTTTACTCAGCTACTCAAAAGAATGTTGGTGATTACTTGATGTGCAAAGAATAGAAGTTTTAAAGAGGTAATAACCTTCATTATTTTGACAATGAATAGTACAATGCCATTTATAAAGAAAGATAGTGGTTCTCTCTAGGAAATAACTTGAGAATCAAGGATAAACACATAACACAAGAAAAAATAGAGAACATCCTGGAGCCATCCACACTGTTACCCATAGTGCTTTAAAGCTTGCCTACTTCAGAATGAGAATCCTTGGATGGTCCTTATTTATGGGCTAAACATGAGACTACCTTCTACTTTGAGTTTAAGATCAACATAAACTAGTTTTGGACTGGGAAAGCAGGTAATTGGATGAAGCCCATCCATGCTGCACTAGGCAGAGACTAGGAAAAGTTAGCAGTTCTCCCATGTATACCAAGACATATTGCAATGCCTCTTCTAAATGGACAAAGTATCCATACCAGACACAATCAGACTCTTGACTGTTCACAGATTCTGGTCCAACACTTCAGAATTTTCTTTCCTTTTTATACCCTTTTGTGGGACCATTCTTTTCCAACATGAATTACTGTCTAATGCATTTTATACATCTTGTTTTTCAAAAATTCTGCCTAAAAATGTTTTCCCAGATCATCATGTTTTGCTCTTGGCAATCCTATGCATGTTTCCTTTCCAAACCCATAAAAAGGTAGATTTTGAAGTCTAGAATGCTGCTTTCACTTGCAATTTAAGTCCTCGTGTTTATGAACTTGACAAAAGAACTGAAATGCTTCACTATTTCTGGCTAAAGAATCTATTTCCAGAACAACACTTTGTGAGGCAACATGCCGTCATATCTGAAACACCCTACACTGTTCTGTATATCACTCTGTAGAAACAAACCCATCTGAAATTTGGTTTCTTTTTCCTCTTTTTTTGATGGGTAGCTTAAAAATTTTATTAATTGTAGATAAACAATTAGCTATTTACAAACTGATAAAAAAGCTATTTACAGCATTGGTTGTGCCAATGCACCCCAATCTTACATAAATTCCTGGGCCTTTTTCTTTTGCTAGGATACAGAGTTTGCAGCTTCCCTATCAATACTTCCCCCAAAATATTTGGTCCCTGTGGGCCCTTGTCTAGCTAATGCATCTGCCATCCCACTTGCTGATCTTTTCCAGCTGAAAATAACTCCCATTTGCCTTGCTCACCTTGTTGCCTCTCAAATGGGGTCCCTAAAGCACCAGGGTCTGATGCTGTTATTCATTATCCACCCTATGACTGTGCCAGAATCTCCTCCCACTTGTTTCTGTAAACACCTCCTACTCCTGCCAAACCTGGGTTGCCTAAGTGGTTTCTTTTTCCTCTTTGAGTATTATTTCATCTTTTGGGACTTTAAAACAAGCTTTAGAGACCACGAGTATTCAGGTGATTGGTTTTATTGAATCTCTCAAAGATGGGTTTACTCAATTTACTAGAAGTAACATATAAAGCATGGTCTTCCAGTTTATTGAATCTCTTCTCTTGCTCTTCCTTTTCCAAAGCTTTGCACATTTCCTCCCAACTGCTCCAACATTTCTTGGTTAAAGATATTTAGATGGTCCTACTCCACCGAAAAGTCAAAATATTTTTGCTAGGAGGTTGCTTTTAAAATAATCAACATTAGTGAGATGCTCCAACAAACATAGAAACTTGGATATGCACCCTAGCCCCTAAGCTTTATGGGTTGAGAGAATGACAATTGTCAAAAAGAAAATTCATTAAAAAAGGAAAAAGATTACAATCTACAACGTGATAAGGAATCACCCGCAAACAAAACAACAAAACAGAATTGCTAGGAAGGAGAAATAAAATAAACCATCCAAGATACAAGATGAATCCCCACAATATCTCCCCAATTGTTCCCCAAATCTTCCTAGAAACTTGAAAAAAAGTCTAGAGATGATGAAATCCAAACGGCAACTGATGTGTTAACAGCTGCCTCAACCTTGCCTATATTCCAATACTTGTCTCCAAAAATTCTTCGATTCTTTTTCTTTCAAACATTCCAGTAACCTGCAAGTGGGATACGACTCCAGAGCAATCTAGCTTACCTGCTTCCCCTCAACTTTGGCCATGAAGGCAAACTTTCTGCAGCAGATTCTGGCTGAAAGCCTGATATTCCAAACTTTCAAGCTTCCTCTGCCCAATCCCCACTATTAGCACCCCAGAAATTGATCTTTAATTTCAATTTGAACACCTCTGTTGAAATAATTTAGTTATTTGTGTTAGGGTCTGTTTGGCTAGTTAAAGCGTTTTTTATTTCTGTTTTTTTTTTTTTTATTTCTGTTATGTCTGTTATTGTACTCACTAACAGCAGGGGCACAAGGGTCTTTTCCCCTCTTATTTCTGCCGCCCTATATAATATAATAAAAGCTGGCGCCGCCAGCTCTGTTCTATTGCTCCAAACTTTTTCTTCTTCCTTTCTTCCTTCTCCTTTCTCTCTTCTTTCCTTCTCTTCTCTATTTCCTCATGTTTCAATCAGATTTATTGTCAAGATGGTATCAGAGCAAGGTTGTTGAATCTGGGCGACCAAGTTTTCTCTCTTCAAGTTGCTGAATCTAGGCGGAACAGAGGACTGAATCTGGGCTGATCAAATCAGATCTGCAACTGGTACAACCCTAAAGTTTTCTTTCTTCCGTTATTTCTTTCCTTGGTCGTGTACCAAGTTGAGAGCGAATGAATCCAAACCACTGAATGTCAGCAGACTTTTGTGAGGGTTATATCTTTTATTTGTTGGATCGTGTGATCCTGTACCTATGAAAAGGTGACTGTAGGTCGTAGATGACCTGTTTTCTCTGCTCGTTAGTCTGATTTCATGTGTGTTAGGATCTCTCTTATTGATTAATGCTGTGGTGGAACTTACACGTTATTGATT